ACCAGACAATGTTTGGCTGCATTTTAGTGAATTTGGAAACCTTAAAAGGCAAAGATCCTTAGTACTGGAGGATTCTGTGCTGTTTTAGTTGAGTGATCAGAGCTGAGGTGAGAAGAATGCAGGAAAGGAAGTGCGCCTGAGCTCCATAACCAGTTGCTACAGCTGAACTTGAGAGATGATCACCTTGCAGTAATGGTGTTGGAAAGAAGCAGGGTTATCAAGGATACCTGATAAATTTTGTGACAGCTACTGCACCTGGGCCTCTAGTAGAAAAATGTTTGTAGCTGAATTCCTGTAGATTGTTGGCAGATTCAGCAATTGGTTAATTGTGATGGTAGGTTTTCCTTCTTCTGAGAAACACAGAAGAGTGACTTTCAAAATAATTTTAAAAGATAAGCATAAGTTGTTTTAAAACAACTGCAGACTTACTTAGAAAATCTTGAGTAACGTAGACCGGAAACGAGGGTCCCCAGTTCTCAAAAAATGTATTTTCAAGAGGAATGATGTTTTACTTTTAAGAGAAATAACGTGCTTTAATAATAAGCTAATTATTAGATTGCATATATATATTTCTGAACTCTTTATTAGATATCCTAAACATAAAGAGAATGTCCTATGTGACAAAAACTTTTCTTTTGAAAAATTTCTAGCTGATAAGTTTGCATCTTTTCCATTTTTCTGGCTATATAATTGAAAGAATATAATGGTTACACTTGTGAATACCTATTCAATTCATGTAGGGCCTAATTTAAATGTGCTTTTGATCATTAATATTTATAACAATCAACTTTGGAGACTTGAATCAGGCTGAGTGTAAGGGGCAAAACTATGCTCATCAAGACTTCACACAGCAGTTTTATAAGATATTACACAAAGGTAGCACAAGATGAAGTTAAAGCTTTTTTAGCCGTATGCCTTCAGATAAGATGGTAGTACTGAATTATTCTGAAATCAGAGCATTGCCTCCAGTTTAAGGACATAACGATATGGACTGCTCTGAAAGTAATGCCTCCTACTTTAATAAGTTGGCACACAATGTCAGAGGCAGATGTTATGGCAGGAGAGACTGAACCTCCCCAACAGCATTCCATTACATGCTGTTGCTGTGTGACAGATGGCAGCAAGGGGCAGTCTGACAAAATGGCGTCTGACATGGAGGTGTGTATGAAGCAAAGGTGTGTCATTGAAGTCCTCCATGCATCAACATTCATTGACACTTGCTGAACATTTCTGGAGACCAAACAGTGGGTATAAGCATGGTGAGGTGATGGGTGGAGCATTTGAGCAGTGGGAGACGGAGACATCGAAGACAAGTCACATTCTGGACAGCCATGCAGTCATTGTCAGTGGCATTGCTGAAATATCACAAAGTTTGTGCCAGATGTGTCACACGAATGCTCACACAGAAACAGAAGGAACACTGTATGGAAGTTTGTGAGGACCTATTGAACTAATCTGATGCTGAAGATGACATGGATTGCATCATTACCAGTAATGAGATGTGTTGTCACCACTACAAAGCAGAGTTAAAACAACAGTCCTTTGGGTGATGATACATGACGAAAAAGCTCAGGACTTAGCCCTCGGGCAGTAAAGTGATATACATTTTTTGGGGTAAGAAAGGGATGATCCTTCTGGATTTCCTGGAGCCTGGGTAAACCATCCACTCTTACCACTATGTTGTGCCTCTGCCTAAGCTGAAGGCTTGTACTTCTGGAATCAGGGCAGAGAAGAAAACAACCTTTTTCTTGAAAAAGGCCTCATACCAGTCTGGGGACCATGGAGCACACTGTCAGTCTCAGCTGAACTGTCCTACCATAGCTACTATATACTCCAGATTTGGCATCTTCTGTCTTCCATCTGTTTGGGCCAATGAAAGATGGACCGTGTGGGCAACATTCTCCTAACAACAGCATCTTCATTGCAGCTGTGAAACATTGAATCACCTCTGCAAGTGCAGGTTTTTATGGGTGCAGCATGCAGGCTCTTGTTCATTGCTGGTGAAAATGCACAGCTAATGGTGATGACTATGTTAAGAAGTAGTATTTTGTAGCTGAGAATTTGTTCTATCAGGCAGTGTTATTGTGCTCTTCATAGCTGTTGTAGTTTCCATGGAAATAAATAGGAGGCATTACTTTCAGGGTGACTAACAGAAAACATTAATCAGTTTCATCAGCATTACAAGGCATAACATTTTCTGTTCCATAAAAATAATAACAATTAATTATTGGTTTTGTATCCAACATTTTCAACAAGTCTTTATTATTTGGTGAATATGAGTAAATAGCTTGGTTTTATCAATTGATGGAGCTGCCTGAAGAATATTGACACAACGTGTATAAATTTCAACATCTGTCAATTTATGCTTGGAAGAATGTGCAGTTTGAAAGAGAAACAGCAGCTCCCAGTCAAGCTTAGGCAAACTTCAGAAAAGAGAAGAATTGCACAGAACCCTTTGCTACCTCCTGATGGTCCATGTTGTTAGGCTACTGCCTAACTTTATGTTGCAGTGGACAGCAATTGCTTATCACAAACAGAAATTAAAAACTCAAGACAAATACGTTTTTGTTTTCTTAAGTGGTGTTTGTTAGTGTGTCTTAGATTAGGTTGTGCACATATTTATCTTTAGTGGAGAAGACTTGCCTCTGCCAAGCTCCTGCTTGTAGCAGCATGTTACTGGAATGCATGCTAACTGTCTCACAGTTACAGCCACATGTGCTTGGCTGCAGTCTCCATGCTGAAGATAGGCATTGACTTCATAAGATAACTTAAGTATGAGTCCATTTTGTCTTTTAAACTAAGACCTTAAACTCAGAACTGAACTTAAAGGAAAGGCACTGTTTTTGTCAAAAATGGCTTTTTGTTTCTGCTTTTATTTTAAAAATGCATGATTCTGAAGAGCCTTGACATTTGTTGTAATGGGCTGCATTAGGGGAATTTAGATGGGGATGTGAATTTTCATAGGAATGCTAAGACAAAAGAAAACATATCAAGGAACTACTTTGGAATAGCAGTTAGTTGTTTAACACTATCTTCTGATCTCAAAACTTCTTGAATGCAATCTAGGAAGCATCTCTTTTGAAAGAGATGGATAAATTTCCTGCTTTATCAGACCTAATGATTAACTTTTCAACTTCTCTGCTGCTCATCTTTTTGTTAACAAATTAGTACAGATTAATACACCACACCCCAAAATCCAAATGAGCATCACAGTAAGCAATAGCCATAAGGCTAGTAGGCATGGTCTTGAAATCAAAAAGGGTCTTAACTGTGATGAGTAACTGTGCTGTTTCTGAAGCCTTGTGGTCGTTGATATGGTTGATAACAATTGTTATTTCCTTTGCTTTCTCTCAGAAACAACTTCGTTTTTAAACACAGGTACAAAGCTAAATGTCTGTGAATAATTGTTTAAGGTTTCTGCAAGTAATTTATGTAGTTTATCAGGTGCCGCTCATCTTTTCCATCACATAGAGTAATTAACAATCACAGCATACTTATTTAGTAGTGTATGAAGGTGGAGCTAGAGAACTGTACAGATATTAAACTGGAGGAGGTAGAAAACTCTCAGAAAGGAAACAGAAGTAGTTCATTTTATGGAATTTTTCCAGACAATTTTGCAGTAGTTGTGTTAGCTCGCTGTTGAGTGGATCTGTTGACTAATACTTACAAATCTCCTCTAATTTCTATTAAAAAAAAAAAAAAAAAAAAGTATTAAAATATCCTGTGAAAGTTTAGCCACATTAGAAGACTTGTCTTAGTTTGACAGTTTTCTATAAATGCTGTATTGATCATTTGGATTAATTTTCATCTTTGTCTAGCTGTAGGATAACAATTAATCTTGATTTTATTGTCCAACTTCCTCCTATGACAAAAATGAAACAGAAGCATGCAGACCATTGTTAGAGAGAATTATGAGACACAGTTTTCTGGAGTTTTTTTTCTGGGAAAGACTCCTGTTAGAGGAATCCAGAATCAGCAGTTAAAACACCACCACATCACTTATGGCCTAATTCAGGCTACTAGCCTTTGCACGGCAGCATACCAAGGTTACACATGTGTTCAATTCTGGATCAATTTAGTTTTCAGGATCCTATATATTTCTGTAGTTTGATTCCTTGCTTTCTGCTAAAATCTGTACTTGCTTCTTCCAGAAGAATGATGTTCTCATTGGAATATGTTCAAGACCTCAAAGCTGATAGCAACCCCGATAAAGAATGAAAGAAAGCTAGGTGCAGGTGGTTAGTTTGGTTATCACTGGAATTATAGGGATCTATAAACCTAGGGCTAAAGAGTAGAAACACTGCACCAGGGTCTTTTCAGATCTTAATCAAAAAGTAGTTTCCTGGAACTAAATAGTCACAAAACAGAATATATCATTTGGCTTATTTGTCTTTGTTATTCCAGGAAAACTGCTAACATAGAGGTAGTTTCTACTGTAAATTATTTCGAACAATTTCCGTCCTCAGTACGACCATTTTTAAAAGATATTTAAGCCTTGAGCCTTGTCATAAAAAAATAACAAAGAAAAGTATATTTCATGAAATTTGAGAGAAAAAAAAAAAACCATGAAAACCCACAAACAAATCACACTGGAAGGCACACTACATCCTTAATAGCCTTCCGTGTTTCTGAATGTCTGTATTAGCATAGGTCTTTCACTTCAGAGTTTTGCTACCTCATTGTGTTTGGAGGTTATCTCTAGCACTTCATAAAAAAAAGCACGTGAATTTTGCCAACACCTGATGTTTGTACTTCAGAGAGGCAATGAGATGTTGCATCACTTGACAGTCCACCGTCTTGCATGCTGTTCTTGCTCTAGGTCAGGATGGATATCTTTAAAAGTCTGCAGTTTTACATTCGGAATAGCGTTGGTGTTTGTACCAAACTTATGGAGAGTGTGTTTGAGTGCCTAATTATTATCTTATAGCCCTGTTTTGATAGCCCGTTTCAATGTTTGGAAATGGTCTTTCAGTGCTGTTCTCTTTGTGTGCTATTTGTAGACGATCTGCTGTTGCCCGCATTCAGGAGCTCTTCAGAAGGAGGAAAGAAAGGAAAGAAATGGAAGAGTTGGAGACTTTGAACATTAGACGTCCTTTAATAAAGATGGTTTATAAAGGTCATCGGAACTCCCGAACAATGGTACAAATGCTTTGTTTGCTTCTGGAGCCATAGGTTTTTGTATGGAGTGAATTAGTGTGGGTGCTACGTTGACAAGATTTCCAAAAAGGATGTTGTAAGCACTCCCACTTGCATATTCACTTGGAAGTCATATGTATAATTTGCTCTAAATGAAAATGAAAATCAGCATGGCTTGTGTGGCACCATGTTAGACAATCAAATTTTCGGCAGTTTGATTTTCTCCTTATATTTCTTTGAAATTTCAGGTGCTTATCTGTCAGATTAAGTGGTATAAAATGTGACTACTTTCAAAATTATTATTGGATCCTCATTCTCCCTTCCAAGCTCTTTAAAGGGAAATTAGTGATAAAATTTTGAAGAACTTGGAAGGGAGAGTGAGAATTCAGTAATTTTGAAGAGCTTGGAAAGGAAAAGTGAGGATTCAATAATAGTTTTAAAGAGATTTGACATATTTGAATTTAAAAAAGGAAATATGCCAGTTATTAATCTTACTATCAATACTAAATGGCCTGCCTTTTTCATATAAAGTGCATATTTTGAGGAAAAGTACAGCTACTGTTTTTAAAACAGTGGTGCATAAAAAACAAATGCTGTCTTCCTCGCTGTTTTTTTTCTTTTTTCTTTTTTTTTTTTTGTCTTTTTGCAGTACTTGGAAGATGTTAAGTTCTCAATGCTAGGTGATGCTTTGTAGAAGTAGTAAGTATCTTGTTTTGAAGATGATCTGAGGGGTAGTCCCTCTTCCTCCAAGAGCAGTTTTACAGAGCTTAAATGAAAGGCTTTGATTACACTGGGGGGAAATTGCTTCAATAAGTGCATATTTCAGTAAGCATAAAACAATAAAGCCTAGAATAAATTTGATTAATGGCAAGATCTTGCACTGTGTTTCACAAAATAAACTTAGTTACTCAAAAATGCATTAGTTTAAAAGTCAATTATCGAGCACTTAGTTCAGAGATATTAAGACTAAGCTTTCCTAAGTGGTCTTAATTTAGTCTCCATCTGTGTATGTGTTGTTGCACAGATTATTCCATGCACGTTGTTATTTAGCTTCTGTAGAATTTGGTTTGGTGTTTTAACTTCAGTTTTACATGAGCACCTCTGACAAGGCATGCATACAGTAGAAGACTGGCATGTTTGTTTCTATGGTGGCAAACATCATTTTGATTTTCTTTTTTCTGATGGACTCCATCGTGAAGGAAGAAAGCTGGTTTCCATTTCAAATTTGAGATGGAGACAGTTTAAGGAACACACTCTCTACGCACTTTCTCCGTTTCCTATACACTTGAGCTACCCAGGGATAAAATTGTCTTGTCAATTACATGCATCTGTTATTTTGATCATACATATGTAAGAGAAATGAACTAAAGTCAGGCATGCAGATTGGTTAATTTGGGTGCTTTCTGACTTTTGAGAGTTTAATTGGACAATCTTACAAAAAATTGTAATGATCATATTTTGTGTAATTTCTATATTTGTTAGAAAACAAGATATTTGAAAAGAACAGTAACAGCAGTGTGTGTGATGTTAGGGGGTAGGAGGTGGGATTTCTTGTTTCTTTCTGCCTGTTCAGAGAAAGAATGATCTTGTGAGCCCAAACTCCTTTCTCTTCATAATTTGTCTTTTGCTATGTACCTCCATTTCTCTGTTTCTCTGGTCTCCTTCTTACTAATTTTCCCTCCTGGCCTAGTCATCACTTTTTGTATATTTGCCATTCTTCCTTTCATTATACTCACCCCAAGTCCCAGATTCCCATTTTAAAAAGTTAACTTGAAAGAAATTCTGTTCTTCAGTAGAGCACATGTATGTAAGCAAGGAGCAGATGATAGATTATGTATGCATGCAGCAAAAGTTTGAAAACATAAAATATTTTAATTTTAGCATCACATAAAGCAACAGATTTCAAATTCACAATTAAGTCATTTGAAAATTAGAAATGTAAAATAAGCAGATGCTTAAGAGAATACAAAGAAATAATAACTGAGAATAAAATAAGGTTATTTATGATTATGGATGTTTTGGATGCACTTGTATGTAACAGAACAATAAGAAGATGAGACCTATAAGACAAAAACTGCAGAAAGATGAAAATATTGGAAACGTGTTCTAGACTGCAGATTCCAGAAATGCATTTTCTTGGCTTATTTTTAGCTATAAAGATGATATTACTGCACTGACTGTATCATAGGAACATACTCTTGTAGACAAAGACCTAGCAAGATCCCAAGGTTGAAGTTTGATAGTGGATGTATTTAATGCTGAAAATACAGTGCATATTTTTAACATTGGTAATGGTTCAGCTTACTTAGTATGGTTCTTTATCATGTTTTTTTTAAAATCAGCATAGCTTGGGCAAGGCACAGAACAAGGCTGTGTGTCTGTCCTTTTCTCCAGTGCATTTTTCTGAAAAAGTTGTGCAGAAGGAAAGGATGAAGGCGCTGCCTACTGGAGAGCTTTATTGTGATGTGTTACCTGGAACACAATTCCATAATAGGATTCTTTTTAAATGGTCTTTTGCCCTCTTTCATACTCAGGTTTCTATCTCTTTTGTATGAGATTTCTTAATTTTTAGTATTTAAGAATATGATTTTGTGCTGTACTTCAAGCATTGGGCATCATCTGTGTGGACTCTGAAAGCTGCTCTATGGGAAATTTCTGTTCATGTATCTCCTCCCAGGGTATGTCAATTTGAAAAAAATTAATACACTTGAAGCTTCAGAACTGTTTAAAGTGTAATTTTTTGTGTAGGTTTACATTTGAAAATGGCAACCCAAATATCAGATTAGTGTGAAGCTTTCAGCTCTTGCATTGTGTCTGAGTTGGACTGCTCTTGAAGAAGCATCCCTTCTCCCTCTGCCATCCCATCTAACCTCTTATTTTGTGGATGACTTGGAAGATGGCGAGCGAGAAAGATAATGCCATCTAACCTGTCCTTTAAATAGTTTAACAGTGGTTACTATGACGTCCTACTTTGTGTAAAATCAGAAGATTCTACCTGGGGGTTCAGATGTTAAATAAGCCATGTTCTTTTAGGCTATAGCCATAAGAGTATTGTGAATGTTACAGATGTGTAGTAATAACAGCGTTGCATTTCAAGGAAGTGCACATCTGATGCATTTAAGGAGGCCGTTTGTTCCTGGCCTGCAATTTCTCTGTTGTTTACACAACCGTTTTCACTGCAACATTACTGTTTCATAGGGCTACTTCAACTACATTAGTTCCAGAACTCATAATTAATAAATAATTTAATAATTGCTATACAGGTAATCATTTACAAACAGTATTTTAAAAATAGAGATAATATTAGTCTAACATAAATAGTTACGTGAATCAATATAAAATAAATATAACTAGTATGTATAAACAATTATTAGATGATACATTATTTTCTAATCTGGTAACTGTGCTATGTTTATGGGAACAAAGAAGAGAATAATAGAGTCATAGAATGACCTGGGTTGAAAAGGACCACAATGATCATTTAGTATCAACCCCGCAGCTACGTGCAGGGTTGCCAACCACCAGACCAGGATGCCCAGAGCCACATCCAGCCCGGCCTTGAACGTGGTTCAGATTTATCTTCTCACTTGTCTCCCAGGAACTTTTGCAAGTCAGATACGAGCTAAGTTAGTTACCTTGTAACTGACTATATTTGCTCTTTTCCTTAATTCTCAGAACCAAGAAGAGAACAGCCTAGCCATTTGAAAGGGGAAGGTGGTGACCTCAATAGAAAAGTGGTCACGGCATTGTTAGCAAATCATATCCAGAAGAACAATGTTGATGAGACTAAGAATACTTATGGAATTTGATGTACAAATACCTCCTGAATTATAGCACTTCACACCAGGAAAAGAGAAATGGGAGATACAGTACATCGCTGCATAGTATTCTAGGTATAGCATATATAGGCATGTTTAGCTGATTGTGAAGCAACAAACTGTATGGGTACAGTGAGAAGTGTCTTGCTTCCTGGAAACCTTCTCAGGGCCTTGACTCTACGGTATACTTCCGTGAGGGCACATTCAGCCCAATTGTATTTACTTACAAATGTACACACTTTAAGTCACAATGCAGTATTTTTTTAATCTGTTCCTAGTTTTTTTCTGATTTTTGAGGAATTTCTGAGTAAGTTTTGTATCTTTCAAGTAAAGTTATCAGGCTTATTGTCAGAGGTGTAGAATTTCCTCCTTCAAATGTATAGCTTTCCAACAAGCACATAAAAAATCCTTCCTGACTGTTTTAACTACAGGCAATTATTACTGAGGCTCAAACTAACTTGTTATCAATAAAGCTGTAGAGGAGTTTTCTGTAGGCTGAAAACAAAGATGATCCAATTATTATTTTTGACAACTAAGTGAGTTAAAAATGAATAAAGTTCACGTGATATTAATCCAGTCACTGCAAAGTAAAATGCCCTAAATTGGTCCAAAATGCTAGAATCACCTTCAGTATAAACTGCAGCCTGTCACTTAATATGCCACGTATAAATTTATATACAGCAAGATGTGCGTTTAAATATTTCTAAAATAAAATAAATTTGAATATTATTACAAGCACTTTTCACTGATAGCGTGCAAGAACTCCTGATATCTGACAAATGTTAGTCATACAACTTCACACATTTCACAAGGACGTCTGCATACCCTAACAAAACAACTGTAGGAACAACCATATGGAACAGAATGCCTCATCCCTGTGTTTTAAAAAAAATAGCAGAAAAGTGAAACTATGTATTACAGGTTCCACTTGCAGGGAGAGCTGCTCCTACTTTCATCTACTTAAGTAGACTCACTTCCCAAGAAGTGATTCATGCACCCATCTCATCACTCTGCAAAGTAACAAATCTGCAGTCGCACTCTATAGACCTTCAGCTATAATGTAGTATTTCTTATTTCCAATCGTCTGAGGCCATCCCAACTCTTCTCCTTTATTAGTTAGCAGCCCATTCGCTCTGGAGATCTGTAACCTCCTAAATTTTCTTTTTTGGATTGTTTTTCTTTAAATGTTTCCTTTAAATTTCCATAGGTGCTCTTTCTCCATTAGCAGTGCTCTAAATTCAGAGCAGTGGTACTGTAGAAATGGGATTATACTCTTTGATGTGTTTCTAAACCTGGTCTTATAAAGTAATTGTGCTTGTTTTTTATTACAGATAAAGGAAGCCAATTTTTGGGGATCTAACTTTGTCATGAGTGGTTCAGACTGTGGCCATATTTTTATATGGGATCGCCATACTGCTGAACATCTCATGCTGCTGGAAGCTGATAATCATGTGGTGAACTGTCTTCAGCCTCATCCATTTGACCCAAGTAAGATAGTCACTTTCCACAGACTATATATTCAAGTTATCTGTATTAAGTTTCTTAAAACTTAGTCTTTAATTCTTTATGTAATACTCAGTTTTAATGATAAATTTTTATTAAATTCTTGTTCATTTTTCCCAGTATTAGTTAGATAATACTGCTTTTAATTGGTCTTGGGCTAATGACTTTGGCCTCATTCAGTAACTTACTGGAATGAAAACATTACTGACATAGTGTGTATATATATATATATATATATATATATATAAAGCTGAGTTAGAGTAAAACGAATCTTCTTCCCTTGTTCCCCTTCCCAATGCATTGTTTTGCATTATGCGATTGAGTGAAATATGGGGGTCACTGGAATGTTGCCAGCACTCTAGGACATGGTACTTGAGTCTGGTCTCTACTTGCTCTGTTTGGTAATTGAGTGAAATGCATTCAAACTCAGTGGCATTGTGAGATTAGAACAAACAAAATTCATAGGAATTCTATCAGTTTGTATTTAGGGGGAAATATTTATAGAAAAGATGAACCAAAGTAGCACAAGGAATCAGATGTCATCTGACACATGGCTGAAAAATCTGAGCCATTCTGCAACTTCTGACACAGCCAAAGAAAAGCATTTGTGTTATTCTTCTTCATAGCCTACGTGGCTGTAGAAAAGTAGTCAACTATAAATACATAAAGTTAAAATAGTAGCGGAAGAGCTTGGATTTTTTTCTGATGAATTCCACTGAATTAAAGGATTGTTAACCTTACACAGATTTTCAGTTACTGAGATCTTTCTGTGGAAGTTTTATTCTCATAGAGCTTTTGTACAGTGATCTGGAGGATGCGCTACAATGTTGTTTTGCATATTTGAGAAGTGTTCATAAGAGTATCCATTGCTTTTGTATATTTGAATACCAGAGACATTTACATGAAGGATGCTGAAACTTTCAAATGTACTTTCATATTTGGTATTATCTTGCTTCTGTCTAATGCCATATTTCATTGATGATTATTATTACTTATTTATAGTTCTGGCCTCTTCAGGAATTGACTATGATATAAAAATCTGGTCACCATTGGAAGAATCCAGGATTTTTAACAGGAAACTTGCAGATGAGGTAAGAACCGACCCTCCATTTCTCAGTTATGTTGCATCTTCCAATCCTACAGAAGTCCTTGCTGTGAATTAGCAGAATTATCTAATGTTTAAAAAAAAAAAAAAAAAAGTACAAATAAAAAACTGTTCTTTATGGTAGCTAACTTACGTATCAGCACACAGATTCACTTTGTGTTTCGTTAACACTCCTAGAAAGTATATGATAGAATATGAAAATATAATAAATCATGTACAAGAAAAGCTGGAAAAAGTATAAACAGTCAAATAGAGAAGGAAGTACAGGAATTAGAAATGAAGGCACTGATTGTTTATAAACTAACTGAAGAAAACAGTGATATACAGAAGAGCAAGGACTGGAAAAATCAATCCTATTTAATATTCTATGACATTAAAAGGAGTTAAATTAAGGTTGCAAATCAGGAACTTTATGGAATAACATGACTTATTAAAATGTTGGGGTTTTTTTAGCACAGTCTCTTGGACAGAAGGGTTATGCTAGCCCGTATTTGTTTTTATTTTGCTCTATTAGTGCCATATCTATATAAAAACAAAACAATAAGAAACAATAGCACAGAAGCACAACAGTTCTTAGCTACGACCCCTTTAAAAATAGGCAACCATCCCTGTGTGAGTTTTGAACCTTTGCCATTATTTTAGAAAAGTAGCACTGGGTGATGAGATACCTAAGTGTTGATTGTGTGATAGCTTAAATGATGAAATATTTGGGAGTCGTCAGAGTTTATTAGTATCTGTTGCTAAACATAAACGTGTGCTAAAAGTAGTTACCATATTGATACTTCTGAAAGAAGAAGAAAGAAAAAAAAAGGCAATGCTGTCTTCTGAGTTTGTTTTTTTGGGGAGTGGTCAGTTGTACAGAATTGCCTGGTAAGCAGATGATGGCAGCAGAGAAGGGGGTCTCTGACTCCTCTGGGAGGACGTCACTGCCAACAATTGCAAGAAATTTTCCTTAGAAGAGGGGCAGGCTTTAGAAGGAGTCTCAGGGAAAAAAAGAGAAATTTGTTATTTACCTGCTTTACAGGAGCTGTTCTGCAAGGAAGGACTGAACAATGGTCTGAAGTTCTCCCCATAGAGAAATTTGCATGCTTTGTGATACCGGAAAATGTGATCTGAGAGATGGGTGAATTACAATTTAGTGGCAAACCAGGAGGGATGGCAGGGAACTACCTTGAGCAAGAAAGGAGGCAGAAGAAGCAAAGGTGCTTGTTAGTGGAGTTTTTTTTCCTTGAAACCAAGAGGGTAGGAGATGGCTGTTTCAAGTTACTAGAAAGCTGTAGATCTGTTCAGAAAGAATCATCGAGCTGAAGAATGTTCCTGAACTGGAATAGAATAATCGCTTGTGTTCCTTGGATTTTTGCCAGAAATTTTAAGCAGCATGAAGGTAGGAGTTCAGGGTAACCTCATCTCTTTTCCTTCCCACATTCTTGGCCAGTGCTGGTGCTGGAACTTTGTTTTTTGCAATAGTTGCCATCTGTAACAGCACTTTCTTCAGTTCTCCCTGTTTCATGCAAGATCACAGAATCACAGAATTTCCAGAAGTTTTTCTTAGCTGCCTGTCTGAATATCTGCTATGGGCATCAGCAACAGAGTGATGATCTCACTAGAATACTCTTTAGGTAGACTAATAGGTATCTGTAGGCAGAGTCCACTGTCTTACTTTTTTTACCACATACAATTGGTATAACAATATTTGTTAGTAATATTAAAATAATTCTCACTTAATGCAATTTTGGGTACTGTGAATGTGTTTTGTTTATATTTATTTCTATGCTTTTTTTCCCCTTCACTGCTTCTAGGTTATAACACGTAATGAGTTAATGCTGGAAGAAACCAGAAACACTATTACTGTTCCAGCATCTTTTATGTTACGAATGTTGGCATCTTTGAATCACATAAGAGCAGGTGAGAGACTTCTTTAGGACTTGATCACCGCATTGATCTATGAAAAAGCAGATGGGTTGGGGAACCATCACAATCTTCAGTTTTATCTGCCTACATCTGAGGTCCATGAAAAGGTTAAAGGGTTTTCTTTCCATTGTTGTCTTAATAGAAGTGCTGTGGAATTGCTTCTGTGGTGTGAGACTTGCAACATTTTGTAGCTCTTTTTTTTCTTTTGTCCGTTTGTTTGTTTCCGTAAACCTCAAAGAGCAAGAAAATGACACAATATATTTTAAATATTACCATAGTGTCCACCCTGGAATAGTGGGAAACATGACCATGGAGGATAAGGAAAAAGCTGAGTTCTTTATGCCTTCTTTACATCCGTATTTAATAGTCAGACCAGTTATCCTCAGGTTACTCAGCCTCCTGACTTGGAAGTCTGGGACTTGTCCTCCACCTGAACTGTCACAGGTCTGTGAAATCGGATGGGATCTGAGGGTGCTGCGGGAGCTGGCAGACATGATTGTCAAGCAGCTTTCCACCGTCTATCAGCATTCCTGGTCAGCTGGAGAAATCCCAGAGGGCTGAAGGCTTCCTGTTTGATCAACCTGATCTTCTGTAACAAGATGACCAGCCTAGTAGATGAGGGAAAAGCTGTTAATGTAGTCTACCTAGACTTCAGCAAAGCTTTTGACACTGCCTCTCACAGTATTTTTCTGGATAAGCTGGGCACCTGTCGCCTAGACGTGCCTAGACTCATTGCTGGGTAAAGAACTGTCTGGAGGGCTGAGCCCAGAGAGTGGTGGTGAATGGAGTTAAATCCAGTTGATGTACAGTCACCAGTGGTGTTCCCCAGCGGTCGGTATTGGGGCTGGTCCTGTTTGATATCTATATTGATGAATTGAATGAGGGAAATTGAGTGCACCTTCATTAAGGTTGTAGATGACACCAAGTTGTGGGGAGGTGTTGATCTCTCTGCAAGAAAGCCCTGCAGAGAAATCTGGACAGGCTGGAACGCTGGGCTGAGGCCGATGGGATGAAGTTCATCAAGACCAAGTGCCGGGTCCTGCACTTTGGTCACAACAACGCCATGCAATGCTACAGGCTTGGGGTGGAGTGCGTGGAAGATTGCACAGAGGAAAAGGGTCTGAGGGTGTTGGTCGACGCTCAGCTGAACATGAGCCAGCAGTGTGCCCTGGTGGCCAAGAACGCCAATGGCATCCTGGCTTGTATCAAACAGTGATGCCAGCAAGAGCAGGGAGGTGATTGTCCCTTTACTTGGCACCGTTAAGACCACACCTTGAGTACTGTATTCAGCTTTGAGCCCCTCACTACAAGAAAGACATCGAAGCTCCGGAGCATGTTCAGAGAAGGACGACAAGGCTGTGAAGGGTCTGGAGCACAAGTCTTATATGAGGAGTGGCCGAGGAAGCTGGGATTGTTCAGTCTGGAGAAGAGGAGGCTCAGGGGAGACCTTATCACTCTACAGCTGCCTGAAAAGAAGTTGTGGTGAGATGGGGGTTGGCCTCTTCTCTCAGGTAAAAGCAATAGGATGAGAGGGAATGGTCTCAAGTTGCGCCAGGGAGGTTCAAGTTGGATTTTAGGAAGAATTTATTCTCAGAAGGATTGGTGAAGTATTGGAGCAGACTGCCCAGGGAGGTGGTGAAGTCATCAGCCCTGGAGGCATTTAAGGAAAGGGTAGATGTAGTACTTAGGGCCGTGATTCAGTGGGCCATATTGGTGGTAGGTGAATGGTTAGACTAGATTATCTTAAAGGTCTTTTCTAACTGTAATGATTCTATGGTACTGAGAAGGAAGCAGGGATGGGAGGTTCTGGGAGGCTGGTATGACATGTGGGGTAGAAAACTAGCAGAACTGAAGATGAGTGTGGCAGATGCATTAGATGCTGAAAATGGGGAGGAGGTCCAGCACTGGCTGAGCAGAGTAGTGGCCTTGTATTGATGAAACAGGAGGGAAGCTCTGCCTGGAAGCAATTGCTGCTCCTCTTTCACCTCCTACTTATCTATGTGGAGAAGACAGCCAGGAAAAGAAGAGGAAAGCCACTGTATCCAGGCCAGTGGTGTGCTTTACCTCTGCTGTAAGTGTTTTTGCTTTTGGGGTTTTTTTTGTTTGTTTTGTTATTGGCTTTTGTTTTTGTTGTTTGTTTGTTTATTTATTTATTTATTACAATTTCATTTATTTTGTGTTATTGTTGATTAAGGTTTTTCTTAACCTGGCGGTGCACGTTCTTTGAGTGATTCGTATTGAGCCAATATTGTTCCTACGCACATCTCCGCGTCTGCCAGTCTTTAAACATTTACATCAAAAAGTAGTTTTTTTTTGACATATACAGTGACAGATAGCAATTGTGCAGCTTCCTGGAGTATGCAGATTTCTAATTGTAGCTCCTCAGAACAATATCCTCAATCCCTTGGACTCGCCGTCTCTTCTTTAATATAATGCTTTCATTCATCCTTTCTGTGCTGACAGCCAGTCAGCACCTAGTAGGTTTCTCATTTTGTACACAAAATTCACTTTTTGCTGTCACTGTTGTTTCTCATTACAGCGTTGTCTGCCCAATTCCTGCTGTCAGTCCGTTTTCAGCTTCTTTCATGTTTCTATTATTGTGTAACACACAGCCACTCTGCATTGTATAATAGCCCAGAAAGATACTACATTGCCAGTACCCCCAAAATTTGGAAGTTCTCTTTACTGAATCTTCTCTGTGCCTTACAGACCGATTGGAAGGTGACAGATCAGAAGGATCTGGTCAGGAGAATGAAAATGAAGATGAAGAATAACCGGCAGTTGTGTGCAAGCACCTAGATGTTAATGGAATTTGTACAAGACATTAATTATATTTTTCCTTACAGAGCTTTAGTGCAATTCTAAGATATTGCTTTTGGATAACCTAACCTTCTGTTTTTGAATGACTGTGTGCATGACTTTGAGAGAGTGTGCAAGTAAAATAAGCAAAAATGTTTTTAAAATGTTTTGCCATGTATGAGGGGTGCTAGGAGATGCAAAGTGCAATATTTTCCTTAACCTGCAAATGTGGGAGCTTGGATCAATGTTTTAAAGTAACTTTCATTATAGTAAAAACGTTGGTTCAAATAAATTTCTATACCTGCTGTTTGCATGTTTGTTGCTTTCTAATTAAAAAGATTTGGTTGTTTTAAGTAGTTTCTTGTTTTCTCTTTGTGCAGCCATTGGTTTATCACCTTGTCCCTCTATCCCCATTTCTGCTTTCATTTGCATTCTTCCCTACAATGTTTGTGAAGTGACAAATGCAGTTATTTCTTGTAGTGAACAAAGCAGGTGACTTTGAGACACCGTGCCTCTTGGTTCTTGGATTTCCATGGATGTAACACACACGTACTTACACAGCATTGTCTGTCAGTCATACTATAGTGCCACTTTCTATGCTTCATGCTTGAATCTGCAGTGCTGGTGAAGTAGTTCTGTTTCACCAGTAGATCTGTGATGCCAGCTCTTCGCAGGAGCAGCAGATATAGCTTAGTTTCCATTAGATTTAGAACAGAGAAAATGTACTGTAGGTGTACTAGGGGAGTGTGAATTAGAAATTTCCTGTGCACTGCTTCCTTGGGAAGGAAGGCTGTTCAGTCCGAGGGCAACAGGCTGTACCCATCCTCCTTATGCTGTTGGATGGCAGTGGAAAAGAGGAAGTGAAGGAAGACAAAAGAACATGGAACAGAGCAGCTTTGCTCGGTGGCTGTTGTTGCCAAGGATGCAGATGCCAAAAGGCTGCATCGCGAACGAGAAAATGTCAGGAACTGTAAATCAGATGGATGAGGGTACCTGAGTGGGAGGCTCCATACCCCAAGCCTTGCAGGGACCTGATTCCTGTTACAACACACGCATGCTAAAAAGGCTTGGAGAAGGGATATGAATCACAGAAATACAGGGAGATGAGAAACCTAAGACTTCGAGGAGATGGAAGGGAAGCAGGAATTGTATGGAACCCAAGTGCCAATAAAGGGGCAAAGGAAGAATGGAGAGGAAGAAAAGAGTGAGAAGATAGATAGGGATTTTTATTTTAATTTTTTTTTAAGATTAAATGGTTGAGAAGAAAAACTGGGCAGGAGAACAGAGGGGAGGTTAGTAAGCAAGAGCGAAGTATAAAGGCTTCAAAAGCAATCCAGCAAAGAGAATTTAGGAAAGAGGAAATAATTGTAGGGGAGAGAAGGCTTTGGAGACAGTGCTGAGAGCATTGGATGTTTTGGAACGCTGCACAGCTGTGGAAAATGGGAAACTTCCTACCCAAAGGATGGAAACCTGGTAAGATTTTGAGAATGTATCTGCCACAAGCAAGGCATGGTGTGAGAAGTCAAGCTAAGTTCTTTAAGCTATGGAGTGAAAATAACTCTAATATGGGTATTTCCCTTGAATTCTTAATACTCCTTTCATTAAGTTTGAAGAACTATGTAGTAAATATATGTGGTAGACCTGATGTGCCTGTTATTAGGGTTTTCTGCTCTCATCTAGCAGTAAGAGGAACAAAGCTGTGTTTCTGCAAGGCAACTGGAGCATTTCTGTATTGGAAACACAAAGTAGCACAGTATTTGATGTGTCTGTTAGGTCTGCAGTAGATGAACCTCTGAAAAGGATATTTGAAACATCTCTGCTAATCTGCCAATTATTTAACTAGTTCATTGTGTTTACAGCAGAAAACTATCCCTGTGAGACTTGTATATGCATATTACTTATAATTCCATTGTTTTTTCACTCATTCTCATGCATATGGACATGGTAGCCATTCACTAGTGAGGTCCATAAATCAATTTTAAATTCCATATGTTTAGATGTGGCTTTGCCAAATAAAGGGATGGTTGAGCTTCAACATGGGCAAAAGACTAATATTTGAAAGACTTTTGTCAAACTTCAGTGATGCTTTTCAAGTTGTACTTCTGAAACTTACCTGTCGTGTTTGTCTTCGGTTGGAAGAGCTTTTGGTAATTGGTTCTGTCTCCCAGAACCGTGCAGTAATAGGAACTGTTGGCAGAGCTGGTGGTAAATCTCTAGAGTTTATAGCAACAAAGCAAAATAAATGAAAACCTCATTCGAAGATGCTCGGAATCAAAGAAAGCAAGCAAGCAGAAAACCAACTCCCAACCCAGGATCTGAACCCTCACAGCTTTGGGGCGGGGCTCCCCCTAGTGGGGAACCCATGAGTAATACTGTTGCAACACATCAAACGAGCAGTTTGATCTGACTGGATGCTGAAAGATAAATCTCCAAGATATTTTGCTTCTCACTGCTGTGCCAACAGCCCAAATGTGACAAACAGGAGAGCCAGCGAGACCTTGGGAATGTTTTATTTTCCTGCTGCATGAACTGAAGACTGTTGGTGTGCTCAAGCTGCTGTTCTCCCAGTCTGCTGTCCTTCTGTCCTGCAGCAGCTTGCTGTAAGCGTTCACATCCTAGACATTAATCCTTGCGATTAAAACAAAGAGCAGCTATCTGATGCCAGATGTCATCAAGCTCATATAAAATTCCATAGATATTGGAATTCTTTTCAGAAGGATATTAAGACTTTTGCGAAGATGAAAAGCTAATTATTTGATGTGTTGCTGTGATTCCTGGCAACTAATTGGGTGCTGGAGCTCAGGCAGATGGGCGCTGTAGGCGCATTCTCTGGTTTAAATGTCAGAGGTGCTGGCTGAAGCAGTTATCTGCTGAAGCTCTGTGTCTTTGTGCCATTTTCCCCCACTGGAGGCAGGGTGGGGTTCACTGAAGACATCATCCTATGTTACCTTTGCCATAAAATCTTCTTTTGAGCAGTAGATAAATCTAACTTCAAAAAAGCTTTAAGGTAGAATGATCTCTATATCTTATGCACTTTGAGAAAATTCTGGAGGCTGATTTTGAAGAAAAAAAATCCATAAATAAGTGCTTAAAATAGATGTTACTGGAGGTACGTGTGCATGTGTGTAAGGGATGGGAGGGTATGCTCTGAGATGCAGGCCTGGGAAGCTGAGCGGTGATGTCTGCAGTTATTTTTCTGTGGAAAGATACCATCGAGCCAGGTTCCATCTGTGGGACTGAGGCCTGATGCAAAGCATATGGACAATCCTTGGGAACCCTCTCTCTGTGCATCAGTGTTGTGGGGGACAGACCCGATGGCTCCATTGGAAACTAAGCTGTCAGTCAGCATGGCTCGGGTCAGAGCCTTTATTCCTCCTGGTCCGGAGCCACGTCACTCTGCTGAAATAGAGGAAATAGCACAGAGGGCAGCTGGGCAGTAACCTGGCCCACCTCAGTAAACATTGATTTTTGAAACCTGGGGCCAAATCAATTTTTAACTATTTTCGTGGTTTATAAGCTGTCCCAATGCTTTCATCTGTGAAAGCATCTGGTTTCTCAGTGATGTCATCTGTTGTTAAATCTGAGCTCTTTTTTGAGGGTAGTGGAAGTTCATTCACCTTTGTTTTAAGCGTTCCTTTTATTATTTGTAATTGCTCTTTTCTTTTGTTGGAAAGGTGTCATTTCCCCTCTCTATGGCTCTAAAGAACTTTCTATCAGTGCTCCCCACTTGATTCATTTCCATTTGCTGATAGAGCAAATTGAAGTCCAAGGAATTACTAATGAGATGTATCAGTTCAAACCACAGGCACGTGTTACTCCTAAAGAAAGCTCTTCCAACTGTTAGTCAACATGTTAGCATGTTCCCTTATTCTTGCAGAAGTGTGGTAGAGAAATCCATGGAACTGGCAGATTGAATGCCCAAGTCAAGGCTGATGGCTCCTCCTTTAGGCACTTCTTAGTTCAGTGAAAATCTTCTAACTAGAGCTCGTTAATGGGTTTGTTACCAATAGGAAAACAAAACCCAAGGGACCTTCAGCTGCTGTCAAACAGTACTGTGGGTCAGTGGTCAGACGTGTTTCAGTATCTCCTCCTGCCCAGCCTGCCCTTAACCCTGTGCAGTCTGGCACATGGCTGCTATTTTTTTCCTGCTGGCGAGTGGTGAAAGAGGAAGAGCAAGGAGGGAGGAAGGAGCAGGCTGTGGGAAGCTGTAAGAGTTGCAGCTGTACGTTTTCAGCAGCACCGCTCAGCACTGTGCTCCAGTCCTTTCCAGGACACGGCTATTGTGCCAACAAATACAAGTGAGCCTCCCATGTAGGTTTCAGGTGTGCTTAATTCCCTACTCCATTGCTTTCCTCTTGTGCAATACCTGACATCCCCTTTGAGCCCAGTGTGAGTGCACCATTCTCTCTGTGCATCCATGTCTCACTGACCTGGGGCAGCTGGGTGGTACCACAGCCCTGGCTGCGAGCTCCAGCCCCACTGTGCTTTCACAACCAGCCATTGTGAATCCGTGTATTCTAGTAAGTACCTGTCTGTTTGCATCTAATTGAATAGAGCTGCTTCATCTCCTACAATTATTGTATTAAATTTTAATGGGCCTTTTTGTTCTTCAGTTCTCATTCGTTTATGGAGATGCATGCATCTCTGAGGAAGATTCACCAGTACTGAGAGTCTGTTCTCCACATCTCTCCTATATAAGTGCTTCTTGCACATCTGTTCCTTGCTTTGGCACTGGTGCCCAATCTAGAGAAATCTGATTTAAAACAAGAGGCACTGAAAATCAACTTATAATTTTGAAATCATCCAAAGGAATAGTAGGTGTTACTGTGATGCAGGGTGTTATTTATGATGACATTGCTTCTTTTCATAGAAACACAGAACCATTTGGGTTGGAAGGGACATGGAATGGGCAGGGCTGCCCCCCACCAGCTCAGTCGGCCCAGGGCCACATTCAGCACAGCCTTGAGCACCTCTAGGGATGGAGAATTGCTGGACTAGGTATCTATTCATCAGAGTGCAGTGGTCATTCAATGGGATGTGCAAGATGGGTTCATGCTCTCATTTAAATTACTGCTGAATGATTTAGTGTTGTTACAATTGTCAGCCACTAGCTCTGAGGGCAGGAGGTGCTGCTTCAGCACTTTACAGAGAAAAAAAAAAGGTATCTGAGACTGTTATCCATCTCCATGAAATACATTAAATCAGCATCTCAAGCAGAAATACAGTGCTTTAAAGTAATTTGCTGTTATTTTACCTGGAATTATAAAAAGCAAGGAAGGTTTCTGTAAGTCTTTAAGTGGATATGGCCTTTCAGCTCAACCTCTATATGTTTGGCACTGTGACAAAACCACTT